TGGGAAGTCTAAATTGTCGTAACTCTATGGTCTAACCGGAAAGGTTCCCTTAAATTCAAGTGACCAATTACGAAGTTACATACGATCTTTGCCTCTTGCCAACTTCTGTATGGGGCACTTCACCCGTTTTGTGTCGGGCCAACATTTAAAAACATTGAGGTTCGAGTGCCGTAAAGAACAGCGGGGAACCGATTCATGTATTGAATAAGTTTCTATTACGCATCATCGATCGATTGTAACGTATTTTATTTGATATAACGTATGGGCTTGAAGACATTAGTCGTCTTTTATTTAAAAATACCTGAGACACATTTCTATAAAAGTTTTAAAAGTCTTCGTAACTAAAATTTCTCATCTTCCTTTGACTTATGATGCTCTAAATTTTACCTAGGATCTCCTTCCCTATTAAAATACTATACAAAATTTATTTTAGTTCTATATGGTAATTAAAATAAAAAACAGATTCCCGAAAACCATATTTTTGTTTTTCTCATATACTTAATGGAGTGTTAAGTTTATCCTATGTTAATAAAATGTAGCTTTCTGTTTTATAAATTAACCTACACATTTTACATAAGCAGTTACAGCGCTACCATTTGCCTGTAATTAAGGTAATTTTTGATTGTAAACGTTTTATGTAGTGACAGTCGGCAGCGCGGGTCGCGGGGAAGGGCCGCGTTTCCGGTCGACAATTTGTAGACACCGCACAGGCCACATGGCGGCCAGAGAACGGTCACTACATGTATTACGATATATGTGTTTTATTGCTTTGTTAAATCAATTAATAAAATATTAATATTTGTTATACTAATAAAGAAAAGATTTCTTTGTTTGTATTGAAAAGACTCCGAAACAATTGAATTGATTCCAAAAATTCTTTCGCTATTAGAATGGTACCTGATCATTTAGTAACATAGATTGTATTTGATTGATTTGAATGATAATTGATATTTCTGCCTGTCCACCGCTGCTACTGACGTGTAGATGATCCCAAGGGTTCTCGCGGAAGATCAGCGCTGGGTGCTTCGATCAGAAGCATCCAGCATTTATTGCTGAGCGAAAACCCAATCCGGTCAGCACTGCATAAACATTTCAATTATTTTGTTTGTCCTGTTAATTACGTGTTTATTATTATTATTTTAATTACTTTGTTGTATGTGTGTGTTTTTTTTCTCTTATTCCAAATTGTGTTGTAGTGGTGATAAGATTAAATGTTATTTTACTTTATTTTATTAACTTTATTTGACACTAATGGCAAGGGTGTGGATATAACAGAAAATCTGACAATTATGTATATTCTTTGCCACAAATGCAAAGCGGAAGCGGATCTCTAGTTATATTAAAAAGACAATGATATTCAACATTTAGTGTTCTTTGAGTCTAAACTGTATATTAGGGGTTCAATAATACTTCTTTTAGCAATCGTTATCAATTCTTAAAATGACTATATTTCATTACTGTTGAAGAAATGTAACCAGATTAATAATTACAACAATTTACTTAAACTGATAATGGATTTTTATGTTTTTTGAATTATTATTCTCGCGCATAAAAAAAAGTCTATTCTAACGCGGGAATAACGAGTAACAAAATTAAGTCATCTCAGCCACGTCAATGAATCTATTCAAGGTTAGAATACTGCATTTTTTTCGTTACATTACCGGGCGGCTTTCTGCATCCCCTTCACTGTAACAACCCAAAAGTCGGTAAATAGCCAACAAAAGGGCTCACAATGCTCCAATGCCAATGTTTGGGCCAAAATAAAGGAATATCTTTGGAAGTGTACGTCGTATTGTGCGCAGGCGCATTGTTGCAGTGCGCAGCATTTCACGGGGAGGGTTGCACAAAACCGCTCGGTAGCTGTCGGTCCCGCCATCAAAGCGCTCATGTTTACTGACAATATTATTTTTATTGCCGTAATTGAGTTGCTTTGACTGTTTGCTCAAACCGGCATCATCAACCAGGGCTTGAACTTTCTAATCTTTATTATCACCACAGCTTCTTTTATTTTAAATTTTTTCTCGATCTCTTTTCTTTAAGCAGTAAACTATTTGGTTTTATTTGTTTCTTATAAAAATCACGATTTCTTGACAGTTAATTTATTTATACTTCGCTAAATTTTTTTTTAGATCTATTATTGATTTTAGCTGTTAGACGAACGTAGAAATGTATGTTTTTATTTTATTTTAGAGATTAGAGTCATACTAAATGTAACAAAAGTAACCACATGAAGCTAAAGTCATGTTCAACTTACATTTAACTTTACTACATATCATAGTAAAAAAAGCATCAGACCACAAAACTTATAAAATTTGAGTCTCTTATCTTTTATTTGAATTACATTGTTCATTTTATTTAATTTATTTCAAATCTCTTTCCAGTAAATTGTGGTATCTACTTCAACTACTCACTACACAGGTTACCGTTAGTTTATTATTATTACTTAGAAAAACACACTCCATATTGAATCGCTATCATAAACCAAGATCCAAACTTCATTACAACTAACCATAACTTGCAATAATTGAAACCAGTTTGCAAACCAATAAACCAATTTTTATAACCCAATCTGGGTAAAAATTCGCCATTCGCAAATAGTGTTGTAAAATTGATTGTTATTTTATGTCGTCGGCGTTATCTTTAAAGTTATAAACCAATTACCGACAAAGCCGAGAGGCGGTGTAACCAACTATAAAGGATGTAACATAAAAGTTGCCGACTTTAAAACAATGTGCTTTGGGTAAGGATTTGTTGGTTAGGTATCCGCTACCTGTTTGTTGTTAAAACTAGAAATTGTTTTATTAGGCCTTTGACCTTATTGTGGTTTTATAATTTTATTACTTTCGTCTTAAAAACAAGTAAGGATTTAATGGAATAACATCAATAAAACAATTCGTGTTATAGTAAGGTAATATTTGAATTTAAGGCCCAATCACAATAGTCGATAATTCAGTTGTTATAAGCTTGCGGGGAGGACAAATATACGTGATCGGTTCGTACAAAGGAAGCAGCAAGATGGGTCTAAGTTGTCGACTATAATGCACAGCAAGGAAAAGTAGAGACTACCCAACGCATGCGAGCCCTAACGACGAATACAAACGGTTCGCCTATACGAGAACTATGGCATGCATGAACAGGAATTCTTTCCCACCACGTATGAAACTGCGCCCTTGAGTATGTGAATTTTAAAGTTCATAGTGCTATAAACATTGCACACACTACAAACATTGTAAGTTGTATATGGAAACATGTTCTGAATGTTGTAACTGTATTCTACATATTAGCAGCAATAAAAAAATCACTCATTTTCATACAATAACTCATACATCAGACGGTATATGATACATATGATAGATCTCTTGCAAATCATGTTGTTTGTGAATGTTTGTATACAATGCAAACAGACACTCATACAATATTTGACATGCAACTGTTGCCATGGCTAAAATCGCGTTCGATTTCCTAACACAATATGTTATGAAGTGTGTTTCACGTGGTAATTTAGATACGTGTTACTGTATTCTATATTATTAGGGACTACCCGACGCATGCGAGCCCTAACGACTAATACAAATAAAGCGTAAACACACACTTCTTTGTTGCCTAAGATCTCAGCAATCACAGCATATTTTTAAATAATTATTTTTTTAATAAAAAGCCCTACTCTTACGTCACACTTTAGGCTACATATTTTCACGCCATTAAACTTAGAGGTTAAATATTTTGGATAAAATCTTAATGTGAGAAAGAGACCATAAGTTGCTGCCAAGGAAGCAAAATTGCCATACTTTGTCATCATATCATGTCATTTTGACATTTGCAATTGAATTTGACAAATGTAATCAATAAAACAATTTTCATAATTTCATGCGAATGAAGTCGCAAGGGAACAGCTAGTAGTGAAATAATATGTCAATTTTTATCGCACAGAAAAGGTACGACAGGAATTTAATATTTAGTGAATAAGGTTTTATTTTATACGTGAGTTTTTGAAATGGTCTTAAATTTAATTGAAGATTATCTGTTGTAGTGCTATATGTATCTGCTACATTTGAAATTAATAATCTGGGTAAACTATTAGTTTTCTCAAAATTAAACTTAAATGTAACTTATGAGGTATAGAAGCGCGGGAAAGTGTAACCAAGAAGCGGGCAAGTTTCCCGGACCGCCCCCGCCCCGCCCCCGCGCTCTCGCTCTCACGCGAGCGCCCGCCCGACTCCCCGCGCCGCGTACCACACGCCGCAAGCGAAGCCTTTGCCTTCACACAAGCTTTATTGGAGCTTACTCAATGTTATTATTGGTTATTATTAATTATACTTAACATATTCTGTGTATGCGCTACGCTACCGTTTTTATTTATAAAATGCAAAGCAGATTATTAATGCACTGAAAAAGTTTGTTATGTAAAGTTTTTAAAATATTACATCGATGCTTAAAAAACTTGAACGTATGTAAATTAAAACATCAATGCCAAAAAACATCCGGAACGGTACAATGAAAAATTTGGCTTCTGAAATTTCCAACAATTAATTATGGTCTTCAGAACGATCGCCGATCAGAATTCTTCGCGTGCCCACCGATGTGGAGTGCCACCCCGCGAACCTCCGCCGACTCAAAAATCATAATTTTTGATGAGCCCGTCGATAGGTTTCAGCGCCGGCCGCGGTTTCCCGCCGCCCCGTGGCCTAATTACCGCCGCTTCGCGATACGTCACCGCGACGGTTCAAAAAAATCCAGCTGTCCCTGTCGCGCGCGCCAGCAGTGCCCAGAGGCGTCTCGCTCCCTCGAGCATTTTTATAAAAACGCAGAGACCGACCGCGACCGTCCCGCTCGTTCCTGCCGCCCGCTCCCTTCGTCTCCTTCCCGCTTTTTACGAGACGCAGGGGCCGCCACCCGGGTGGGGGCGGCGACCGCGCGAACGCAAAATATTGACCATCGGAAAAAGTCGCGTCGTATCGCAGTCATCAGTCGAAACCGGGTCCCCGCGAGCACGCGTCCCTTGCCGTCGCCGTTGCCGCATCGGTGCCAGTCGTGCGTCTTCGGTCTGCGGTCTCGCGCGCCCGCTTACTTTCCCCGCCCGGCGTCTTGCCCGTGGCCAACAAGTGGCGTTCGCTCGCTTCGTCTCGCGCTCATACTTCTCGCAACTTCCCGCGGCGCCGCGCGCGCTCCGCTCGTACTTTAAAATTTGTTCGCGCGTTATAAACTTTTCAACGGTTCGTGTTCGTGTGGCGTGTCTTACTTAGTGGCGTGTTAGGTTCGCGACCGGCGCTGGAGTCGATGCACCTCCCGCACGCCAGACCACCCGCCCTCAGCATGGCTGACGTGTACTCGCACATCCACGAGTACTACCGGCAGAGCCACGGTGAGCTGGTGCAGACCGGCTCACCCGCCGTGTTGTGTTCTTCGCTGCCTGGCCACTGGCGCTCCAACAAATCGTTGCCGGTCGCTTTTAAGGTGGTTGCGCTGGACGATGTGCAGGACGGAACGCTGGTCACCATCAAAGCCGGAAACGACGAGAATGTCATGGCCGAGTTAAGGAACTGCACCGCAGTCATGAAGAATCAAGTGGCCAAATTCAACGACTTGAGATTTGTAGGTCGCAGTGGTCGAGGAAAATCCTTCACGCTGACGATCACCATTAGTACCTTTCCCAGCCAAGTGGCCACCTACTGCAAAGCCATCAAAGTCACCGTCGATGGCCCAAGAGAACCCAGAACCAAACAAAGTAAGTTTTGTCTATACTGTCTATTTATTTTAGACTACATTTTATTGTTAACATTAGTATTATATTTAAGTAATTTTAACTTTTAAAAATGTTTGTAAAAATATTTTTAAGAATTTTAACAAGCGCTACGAAATCCTTTGAAGAAAAATATTATTACAATTTATTATATGGACAACTTAAAATCTCAATTTCAATAAAATTTATGTCTTACATAACCATAAATTAAATTCGTATACGGAACAACGTAAACAATAAAATATAATGAATTGTCATAGGTATTTTTTAATCATTGTCGCGTTTCCATGGAGTGCGCGCGCGCTGGCGTACCGCCAGTCCGCAGCGCCGAGGCCAATTTTGCGGCGCCGACTGTTAACCGCATTCGGAGCCGTTTTATTTTCGAATCGTACGAATAAAAAATTCAAATCAAAAGATATGCGTCTGAAACGACGTGTCATCAAACTACAATAAAATAGACGTAGATACTCCGATTGATACGAAACATTTGGATCGTCTGCCGCCATAAGCTTACGTCTTGCATGGAATGTTATGACTTTTGTACAGCAATCCTAGATAAACATAGTAAAATGTATGATCTACATATTAATATATAAACTTAAGGAAATACAATATGCATGTCCTCTTATGATAGATTTTGTAAGGAAGTTTACAGGACATTGACATATTGACGTAGCACATGTAGAAATGTGCTACGAAAAGCTTTGCGAGAGTTCAAAGAAACACACCTCAGCGCCGTCTCCAAGGGATAGAGTTGAAAACTTAATTTAACAACGTTTAATATAATTGAAACAAATGTGGTTAGTATTGTTACAAGATATCAAAAACTTATATGGACGATAATTTATAATCCTTAGCACTTTTCAAATACCTTGATACAGTTAAATCTAAAAATCGAAACAACTAAAATCTTAAATCGAAAACAAAGTAGTAAAGTAAAGGAGGTAAATTTTTGAAGTAAAATATCGTGCGTCAAAATCGAAACAAACTAAACTATAGGTTCAGAATAGGTCCCAGACACGAAGAATCTTCAATCGTGTAATAAATTATATTGATTGCATTCAAAGCATATTTTCGTAGTTGTAAACAGTTATACGTGTAACACGATTCTCGTGTATCTGTCGAGCGGAACACGTGTGCAGTACCGACGAGCCGAATCACTCAATCACGAAGACATTAATTGTTGTATCTCGTTTAATCTCGGAACAACACGAACGAGTTATTGTTGAGTCGGAGGACGGCTCCCTCCGAAAATAGTACCGATTGTTTCCCGCCTTTATGAGGCTGGCAACTTAAAGTAATGTGTTTTGACGTCGGCCTTATAAATTGTTATTTGTGTTTACGGAGAACGCTTTAAACGATCGCATGTTCATTAAATCTACTAAATTGTCTTAACATGTAAAGATGCAGGCGGATGGAGTGCTTAGTTAATTCCGTCAATTGAAATATTTTACTTTTCTAAGCGTAATTCGGAAACAATTAAAGTTTGTAAAAGCATGAAAGGACCAAAGCTTTCACACTATAAGATCTTAATTAAACCTTCAGTGTAAAATTTAGCTTACTAACTATATGGTTACTAAGCATTAAGCATAGTCACCACCGTCAACTTATTCGCTTAAAGCAATGTACCGGATTATTGCCGTGGTATACATCTATTCTTGAATCACAAGCATCGTAAATCTATTTAATTCCACTGTTTTCTAAAATTCTTCTATTCATTTACTTTCAATAACAAAATATAGTCCATCATAAAAAGTCCAATAAAAAAACAAAAAAGTCTTATCGTAACAAAAATGCTAATCAAACATGTAACGATCAAGAAATCGTACGGAATTCATAATATTTTGACACCACATATCTATTTCGGTTGCAACAACGTTCACAGGGGCCGTCTGTGTAAACAAACCGTTGCGCCCAAACTTCGGCCAATAATAAAAAGACAGTATGCGGAAAAACTAACATCCTCGGGCGATAAACATCAAAGGTCTCCGGTTAATGTGGCGATCAATCGGCGCGCCTAATGGCGGTGTAGCGGCGCACTAATTAATGTTGAGAATAAAACTTGACTTAGCTCCGCGTAGACGTCATTCTAAAGCTGGTGACACACGTACAAAGACATATTGTGTCTATCATCGCTCATCATAGCGCTTTGAATAATCAATAACCACAGGACATGTTGTTTTAAATATAATTTAGAACCTTATCCGTTTAATCAGAGACAAAAATTGCTTTTTTAATGTCGTTCTTTTCTATTTTAAGGAATTATTCTTTTTCAATGCTGTGTAAAAGTCTACTCATTAAGTTATCTAGAATGTAAAAAGTAGTTAAGTGGTAGGTCAGTCGGGTCTCCGTAGACCGCAAACTGCACGCCGTGTGCAGCACGCCTCCGCCCTCACACATAAATCTTATGCAGGCGCCGCGTGCTCCGAGAAGGACACACGTCGTCTACAGCCATTAATCTCACAAATGAACTTACAATTTGTCAGCAAGGAACGCCCGTAAAATACCACTAGTCTTGCAATTAACAGAGGTAAAGATTTCGATAGTTTTATACCTTAGCATCTCTGTTATAAACATTGGCTGAAACTTTCATGAACTGTAGGCACCTACGTAACTCAAAGTGGTAATTAAAAATTACTAATTTTTTGTTTCGTCGATAATAAGAATCTATATAAATAGGCGGAATAAGTTTCTAACTACATCTGATGGGAACTATCAACTTTTGTTATCAAAATTTGCAAATTATCAGTTAATTTGTTAAGCAATAAATAGGTACGTATATCATACTAATATTATAAATGTGAAAGTTTAGATGGATGGATGGATGTTTGTTCGAGTTTGTAGCTTCAACGGATTTCGATGAAATTTGGTATAGATGTAAAGGATAGTCTGGAAGAACAAATAGGCTACTCTCTTTTGGTTTTCTTAATTCTACGCGGACGGAGTCGCGGGCGAAAGCTAGTTATTTATAAAGCACGAGTATTTGACACAAGTATTTCGTTTTGTTCACATTATGGCAGTAAAGTTGGGCAGTAGAGCTAAAAATCAGCGTCGACAGCGGAATACAACTGGCATATTGCACACGCTAATTAGACCATCATTGCGGTTCTATTGTACTGGTATAATATGAACCAGGAATTTTGGCAGCACGAAAGTCCGGTGGTTGGTCTAAAGTAGTCAATGACGCACCGCAGTTGCAACGACGGCGGTTAGCAAGTTCGGTGGTGTGGCTATGGTCGCGCAACAGATGTAAACAGCGCCGCCGCTCCGCGTCGTAAAGCCGTTTGATCTCCGCCGCCCACCACCCGCATCCCGCACCCCGTTAACACTAAAATATGGATTTTATAAGTATACTAGCTTATACACCATATCAACACGACGACCCTTGTGACCGACGCCGAAGTAATTCTACGGAATTACTACTCTGAAATCAACCCGCCCCTTCACTATTAAACATTACTGAAGGATTGTTACCAACGTCTTTGTACAAATTAAGATATGTTTTACCAGTGTTATAATGTTCTATTTTCTTTAACAATATGAGTTTCAAGTCCTTTACCATCTAACCACATATAAAAGATATCACACAAATTCTATTTCCTTACCAAAAGCATCTTACGTGTATAAAAATCACGAAGAACATGTTTATCGCATACCGCTTCGGTTGAGAATTATGATGCCGTTATTCTGATTCAATAATTTATTCGGCGCCCGGGCCGTCTCCGGCGTGTTATTTACGAGTGACAGCCGCTCACATCTCATTTCAGTTATTTAATGCCTATTTTGACACTTGCGTCTGATCGTTAGTGCGTTTATTGTGGCGACGCCCGGCTGAATACGTCGGCATTGGTACGCGGTATTGTTTCTTTAACACTTCAAACGATTATCTGTATTAATATATAATTTTAATAAACACAAAAATTTGCAAAAACTAAGGTAAGGTCTGGAACCATTTTGAATGTCGTTACCTTTCGCCAATTAATACTGAACAAACATTCTAAAAAAAATATACGAACAATCTAAAAAAATCGTCATTTCATTTTACAATTTTAGCGATTACATGTCCATTAATCATTCTTCAAATCGTTAATCGAAACTCGACCCTATCAAATTAACGGAAATGCTTACAACTTATTGTTCGGTATTCGTTCCCTAAACGATTGTGGCGATATCGTTTAGAAACGCACCCGTTACAGCAATAACATTAGCCCCACAAGGCCGGGAACTGAATTTAATTGAATATCGCTATTAACAGAGTATCGCCATATCCGAGTTACAAATAGAACTTAAATCCTACATCGTTCTACAGTTGCCGTCAGAAATAAGCTTTAAAATTCACAAATACCGAGGTTAGATATCAACAAAGTTTACACGGTTAAATATTTGTTCTTATATCATTGTTGACTGCCGAAAACCATCAGTTAGATTTAAAAACCGATTGTTTCACGTAATCACCTCGAACTGCGTGACGGCGTAAGGCCATCCATCAAGTTCTTAATTTAAAACAGCCGCGATGCGAACAGCACTCGCCCCGAACACTCGCTAATCTCCCGCCTGCTTACGAAAATAAAGTGCTCAATAAACATTCTCATTGTCCAATAAAAACATCAACAACACCCGATTAACAATCTAACATCAGTATCGTTAAAGAGCACTGATTTAAGCGATCTACAACATCTTGCGCAACTATAATACTTAACACAAAGAGCCACCGAGTTTAGGACAAAGAGAACGTAAGTGCTCATAAAAAATCGATTCCGTCATTAAAAAAAAATCGATACACACCTGACTCGAGACGTGAGACTGGATGAAGACGTCATAAAACGAGAATAGAGCAGCAGTGGCGTCTTCAGTAGCTATCGATTAAACAAATAAAAATTCGTTTCGCCAGGCCGAAAGGCGAAAGGCGATGTGACGTCGGAGGGGATCGTAAAAACGTATGGCGCGGAGGAGCCGGCTAACTAGCAGTAAACCGGCTCGTTTTGTATACATGCCCCTTGTTATAGTCGACGGAGAGTAAACAGCGCGGGCATGTCGCCTGCTTTACTGCCGGCCTTTGTAAGATGTGATTGCGCCTTGCGGACGTGGCCGAGACCTGCCCACTACGCTAACAATGTACACTACAGTTTACAGTCCTGCATTTTTTCCATATTATAGGGTATATCAGAAAATACGAAAGTCCGTGACAAAGTAACTCTCTGAACATTCAAATTGCTAGATAATTATTACGACATATTAATTAATCATCAAAATTAACGAATGATAAGAATACTATCGTTTCTAATAGAGTTCATATATGTACCAGCTTAATCGAAATAATTAGACAACAATAACTAATTAATTTTTTCTTGTTGCAGACTACGGCTATGGCCACCCCGGAGCGTTCAATCCGTTCCTACTGAACCCGGGTTGGTTCGATGCTGCATACCTCAACTACGCCTGGGCCGACTACTTCCGACCGCCTATGAGAGAACAAACCGCAGCTCTCGTTAAAGGTATGTATTGTTAATTAATGACACTATTCTATAAATTTTTGAAAAAGACATTTAAGAAAAGGTTAAAAACGCTTTTAACATCACAGATATCGCCAACGGATCTCAAATATTTACTAGCAGTATCAGCTTCTATCGAAACTTCCAATCGACGGATTATTTGGCATTCGTTAATTTGAAAATTCTCGATTTAGCAAACAACACTCGAAAACATGTTCGTAGCAGCACACCGCCCCTCAAGGCCGTACAACGCAAAGCCGCTCAAATAAAAGAAACAGCTCTTGAGCATTGCAAAACAACGCACGGCCCGACCGAGGCGGCCGCCCGCCGAAGTCCAAGCGGGGCCGTAGGGGGTGTGGGGGGCCAACAGAAAACGGCTAAAAAAGCGACGCCTTCACGTTCGAGAGAGTGTGGAGTCAATTTTATTCCAATGTAGGCGACCGCGCCAGCGGCCACTTTTTGTTTCCGTTCCTGAAACGCGAGGAGCGCTGTACTCAAACACCTACCCCGACTTTTATTAAACCTACGTCAGACTCGTTTTCGCACATCCGCCTGCCAATTGTGAATTTAAATTATCTGCCTCGCGCTATTACGAAACTAAAATATTCAGGAAATCACCGCTTTCTTGCATCATATTGTAAATACCCTCGTTGACGAGATAGAAGAAAAGAACTATAGGTATAGTAAACATATTTAAACAAAAACAAGCCGAATTAAAACAGAAAAAAAAACAGAATTTGGCTATAGAAATCGATATTCAAAATGATTATAGATTACAAATAATATTAAAAGAAATGCAGAGTTAAATCCAACGACCGGGATCACCTCAATCAGGCGCGACGCCGATATTGGCCCCCGCCTCACGAAATTACCCCCTAGTTACGGCCCCTCCCACCCCGATGCCTTTTAAAGTGGTCTGCACACCACTGCCACTGCTGCAAATATAAAAAGTGCAAAACACGAACGTTGCACCACCTCCGAGCTCTTTGTGGCCCAATCTGCGCCTCCGTCGTGTCCTTTTTATGTACGCGAGCTTCTCTTACACGCTCTCGAGAATCAAAGCTCGCGCACAAACAGGAACTTTTTGAGTACGGCTAATGAAAATTTCACGTTTCGAGCTCTTTGTCCGCCCGCTGTCGAGATAGCGGCGTTTCTTATCGCGACGCAGCGCGCTTTGTAACTCGCTGTACACCCCGCACTCTCATTGCCACACGACACCTCGCCGCGTGCCCCGCATCGGTAATGCGCCTCCTCTCCGAACGGAGATGTATCGAGCTGAATTACAGCGGTATGTCGTGTCTAGATTGCAAAGAACTATGTCGCATTCGGATAAATAAATATTGCACCCTCACCCTCACGATATCGCACTAAAAAAAACATCCCTTTCGTCGAAGCAGCCTTTAAACGCCTACAGATTGTACATTATCCTTAGTACGATTATGCACCCTCGTCGTTCAGGGAATCGACGGAGTGCCCGCGGGCACTGAACATCCCCGAGGGCTCGTAGCTCATATTACGTCATATTGGAAAATCGGGCAACAGAAGGACGACCAGAGAGCATGCTCTATTATGCATTACAAATTTAAATTGATTCAAATACTAATGATTTCTTTCTTTCCATAGGTTCCGCGCCGATACCTACTCCGCCTGTCACGTTACCCGGTTCCGAACTCTTCCCGTTCCCGCCGGCGATGGCCAACCTGCCACCAGCGGGGCTGTTACCCCCGCCTGGCGCATTTTTACCACCGAACGGACTTCTGCCTTTCGCGCCGCATCCTGCTGACCTGACATTAAAATCTCTACCAAGTGAGCTGGCTCTCAAGAATGGTGTAAACCCTTACGAAGCACTGAGACATTTGCAAAGCGTTTCATCGATGGATACGTCTAGCGCTCGCTTATCTCCAACGAGCAGTAGACAAAGCGGTAGCCCTAGAAGTATTGTCAACGCCAGTCCGAGATCTAAAGCAGATTCAAAGTCAGAAGTCAACTCGACGCATGAGGCGACAATTTCTGACGAATCAGACGAAGAGCCGATCGAGGTCGTTAAATCAGCTTTCCACCCAGCAAGGCCGGCAAATGTGGAGCTACAGGAGATGAAACAGGTTCAAGCTGCGGACTCCACGGTGTCTGACAGGCCGAGGCTACGGAATGATTTGAAGGCACCCTCAGCGAGGACGACAAGGGCGCTATCAACTAGTCCGACATCAACAAAAATCAGTAATGGCACGATACCCTCCCACAAATCAGTGTGGCGGCCATATTGAAATTCCAATGACTAATTATATTCAGTCTCAAAATAGAGACGTTGTGAAATGTGATAAACAATGAGCTTGTAAATAATAGAGATCAGATATTTATTGTTAGATGTAGTAAGATTAGAGCGGTTAATTTTAATTCTGAAATCTATGAAGTCATTATTGTATAGGTAAAGTGTAATTAAATAGATAAATTGTTATTGCCCATTGTTAAAGCTTTTTGAAATAGAGATAATTAATCGATTATTATTAAAGTTTATAATATTTTCTTGATATAGTCTAATGAAAATAATACGTACTTAATGTAAATCGTAGCATTTATAAAGAAGTAAATTAAAAAATGACTGATAATTGTAAACATCTTTTTACATAATGCATTGTAAATATTGTTAAATGTATTTATTAATAAAAATGTATAATACGCGTTTTAGAAAAAATAAGTGTAAAATTGTATATAGCGTAGAACTCGGGAGATAAAGATGATTCTGACAAATTAAACTGAATTTTATTACAAATCCAAACCAACAAACACACGACAACAAACGTCAAACATCAAACACAATGACTACTTAATCTGTGGCAATGTTTACACTCCGTCTACAATGGTACAACGTGCGAACCACATGTCTTACCCTATAGGATGACACAATAATTTTATTACGTAAGAGAACCCACAATATTATGCAGATGCATATTTCCAACATCAAGTAATTTTGCTTAAAATAATCAGCGATCTTACGATTGTTGTCTCTTTTATGTCAAAGTAATAACATGAAACAACACAAATCTAACTGCAATTGAAACTAACGTATTCCGTAACAAATGATAACATAGAGTAATACTTGGATGTTTGAAAGAAACAAATTGTAAAGGGTCGGTTATAAGGCGGTGTTGGGGGCTAGCTGCTATCAATTGTGTTTGCACCCGAACTGATCTGGTTAGTTGATTGCAGCGCCCGCGCCCCCCTCGCCGCGCTCCCGCGGTCAGCGCGCTCCTCAAACAAGCCAGACCAAATCACCTCTCTGTTTATACTAGATATGTCTACTAATATTAAAGCTATGAAAACGATATTAATAAAACGTACGAGTGAACATTTCGTGGCATATTAAAATCACAAAAGTAACATAATACAATCTATTCGATTTAAACACTTTTCTCGTACCATCTTTTTGTTTTTTACGCATAAAAGAGATAGGAGTCAACAATTTGATGAGAATACACTAAAGTTATTTTTTCCTACATTTACGTTAGTGTATTCCGTAAACATTTGTAGTCACTTCTAGAAGTGCAACATCCGTGTCAGGCATTGAATAGAGGCTCCTCATTATGTCGAGCTTTGATTCGCATCTCGCAGGCGTCGAGTTTATGATTCGCTTTTTGGTGGGAGAGTCCATGCATTACGTGTATCAAGGCCCTCCTATTTGGACGTATTAAAAACCTGTGGCCAGACGGCCAAGCCTCACTGAGCGGATTTTGAATTTGAAATTTTGTTTGAGAACGACTCAATGGGCGAGTGATTACACACGTACGGAATACATTCGTTTAATGAAAGCAACGAAGATACCGTACTGTCGAGTCGTGCTCCCCGTTTGATAATTCAAGTTATTTATTTCGCATTTTTATTTTACACTCCGATGACCGTTTTAAATAATTTAAATGTGCCTATTAAATTCCCAACCAAATAAGGATGACAAATCAGATGAGAAAATTATAGATTACAATTTTATTAGCACCTTTGTTTAAAAGACTTGTAACATTCTATTAGCTCATGTCCCATTACATCTGTTTGGTATTAAAAAAAAAAACAAGTAGCCTATGCGTTCTTTCAAAGTAAACTCTACACCTATGCCAAATTGTAACAAGATCCGTTCAGCCGTTAAGGCTACAAATTCTAACATCCATCCATCCTTTCTCATTTATAATATTAGTAGGAATCTATTAAGTTTACATTGACCTAAATTAACTAGGTATAGTTTCAACAGTAAATGTTTTTGTGCATTTTTGTGTGAAATCGCGGCTTAAAGCCCACTCCACCCGCAGCCCGCGGCGCCATCGCTGACAACACATATCGATAAGACCGTACCGGCGTGGCTCGGCGCTTGCTTTTATTGTTTCAGCCGTTTCAGCGGAAGACCCGGCTAACACCCCCGTTTGCCTTGCCCCCGGCGGATCGGACGGTGAAAAAAAATAAACTCTAAATGGATCCACTTCTAATGCCCGTGTAGGGGAATGTATGCTAAAGTGGACCTGCAAAATATTGCTCCGTGCTGTGTCCATAATACCCGTATGCTCGGAACGAGGTTAATTGAGTACTGTGGACCAATTAGTCGAGTATGTAATACTTTGCATACAACCGATATTGAAATAGGTAAATATTTGTATTTTTGTATACAATATAAGATGTAAGAAAGGTAATTTATCTGTGTGTAGTAACATGTTTTTATCATTTTTTTAATTTTACGCGGGCAAAGTCGCGAGCAATAGTCTACATTAAAAAAAACTTACAATGAACACTGTTTTTTTTTCGTCTTAAACATTTTCACCCGGTTTTTTGCTGCGTCCTATATGGGACGGAATATATTAAGTTTTTATAGGTTATGTGAAACTGCAATCGTAACAATGGAAGAAAAATCATTGTTTTCCTTTATATCTATTTAATTATTTAGTTATGATAGTTAAATCTTGTAGAGTTACGAATAAATGGTATTTATAAACAACGGCTTAAAATCGAATTATACCTTAAAAATCACATTGGAAATATTTTTATTTTTATAAAAGGCTAGCCTTCGGCACTCAACAGTGAGCAGGGGGTGTCAAACCTAGACTGGACAATGGCACAGAAAGAAATCACGCCGATAAAATTTTAATGCTTGTATAAAAAGGCTATAAATTTGATTTACGCACCCCCGACCCCCGAAACTTCGCTATATCGGAACATAACAAGAGATAATGTTGGCTTACAATGAGGGGTTGTCAGTCCTGTTTGAGTTTGGACGTATCTACGCTAAACTTAATAATAACAAATTCAACATTCTACGTCACGATACTATTCTTTGAGAAATTTACTTTTAGTTAAAACAGAAAATACATTATTTTATAATATGTATTATCTTTCATTGATCATTAACTATTTGCAAATGTTTTAATAAAAACATCTGATATTTATAGTTTTTTTTTTAAATAAATAAACTTTGATAACTAAATATATTTTATTGAAACAATACATACAAACAAATCACGTTATAATTCTATACTAAGTAAAATATTATTTTACTTATTTGAAACACAATGCAACACAATGCAACAAAATACTTAAAAAATTATCCACCAACTCCATAGGCTTTGAAATGTTTGCGCGGACCGCTTTTAAAAATAATAAATTCCTTATAAGGCCGGGCCAGGAACACAAGATGAGTAGAGGAAGCCACTTAAAAAGATTGGCACTCAGCGAACCGGCATAATCTATGCAAATTACGTCAAATTAGGAGTCGTCAACACGCTACGCCTCCGCTGCGTAATTTGGAAGGCAAACCCTCCTTTATTATTAATATTTATTCCATTCCTTCCGTCCGAACCGAATCAAGAGAAAAAATAAAATCCGTACGAAATATTTCGACCCCTTAATGAAACGAATAAATAGGTACTGAGAAAAACTCGAAGAAGCTTAATTTGCGTTCCTCCACTTTATTACACAAATTTATTCGGACTGGATAAGTCATAAAACATCTGTAAACCCCACGCTAAACCGAGAAATGTTTTTATTCAATAACATCAAGTTTGTAGAACGAAATTTCGGAAAGAAAGTGGACAATAGCAAACTTCTTTCAAGTCGGCGCGATGAAAGGCAGCCGCAATAAAAAAGTATAAAACGAACCTAAAATGTTGTTCTATTTAATAGAGCAATATCGTTAAAATTTGTTGCCTGGACGAAAGCTACTGTCGCTATAGTTTATAAGAAATTTCTACCTGTTCTAAAAATCGTCTTTTGTTCTAAAATTGCTTTGTTTTTTAATTGCCACCAGTTTACAACTCCAATTTTCATTATATAAACTCTCTTATTAATTGTACATCGTCTTAAATGAACATGTTATACATAGACATAAGTCAAACCGAATCGAGTCGGCTAACCCTCGTTGCATACACAAATTGCACACTCCTAAATGGGTTTTAGCGTCCATCCACTGGGCCGCTAGTCATTAACTCACGGAAGCAAGCACAGCGGACCAATTTCCCCGGCCGGTCGCCAATTAACGACACTTGGGCGACACTGGCCGACGTAACCAAAGGGTTAGGGGTAAGATGTTTGCTATGATTTACGAGGGGCTTAGAGAACCGGCCGGCGTCTTGTGACCTAGCGTTTCCTACCAAAATCATAGACTTAATTGCTTATTGAAGAATTTCTATAGAAACACTGAATTTATAATAATTACATTAACACGAATTATACGACGTACAAAATCAACAAAACCAACTAGCGCATAAAAAATATTTTACGCAATTAAAGAAATCTGTACTTTCTGTTTAGAAACCATCAGTGCTTCAATTTCTAAGTACTTTTCGAATGTTGTTCTAGATATTTTGACCGGTAATAAAAACTAATTTAACCTTACAGCGAAAGTTGTAAACTATCTTTTTGCATCGAGTAACGGTTTTGTTTCTTTTATCTGCGAAATGTTTAAGCAATATAAAAATATCTTTATTTGCTTAGGTAAAAGCAACCGGCATAAAACTATTGCTCCAAAATCGGTAAAAAGTAGAGCCCAAAAGTAAAGCATTTTTTACAACCATTAACAAAAGCTTTCGCCGTAGTTTACAGTTAGATATGTAAATATTGTGCAACTTGAATATTACGCACATAAAAAAAATCCGTAACGGTGCTTTTTTAAGGCTGTAATAGCTTTCGTTGGCTAAGAATTTCTTTAAATGGTAAATTATGCTAATTAAAGTTATAAGATAGTTGTAACAGTTTTTTCATTTTTTTCAGTTTCCATTTTTTTCAATTTCAATCAGTTTTACATATAGTTTAAAATGCAATAATGTAAAACGAAAACCTAATAGTTGTTAAGTTTTATCCTGA